GCGGCCTGGATCCATCGTAGGTCGTTCGTGTTGTTGTGCTCGTATTGTCGTGGTTGGGTGGCTGCCCTGTTCTGTTCCTCTACGGCCTCGCTGTCCAGACTGTGCAGGAAGCTGCTGATATCGTCGTCCCACCGCTTTGGCTGTCACCCTTGCTGCCGTCGTCCGCGCTGGCGTGTATTGAGATTCGGGTTCCATTCCAGCACTCTCCGGGTCCAGCGAGTCGTGGGATGGTGAGACACCGTATTCGCCCATCGCCATACCATTCTACGATGTGTATACAATACGCCTGGTATATCGTGCATGAGCATGAGTGATTCCGCCCTCCGTGTGCTTCTGCGGATGAAGTCGGACCACAGCTCCAGGTCGTCATCCCCCCTGCTGCTAGGCTGCGTGTCCTCGTCGTCGTTGCCTGCATCTTGCACATTGAGTGGGTTGGGAAGGTCGCTGCGTACGTCGGAGTCGGTGGAATCGTTGGAATCGCTGGAGTCGCGTGGATTGGTGGATCCCTTACTGTGGTGGGTGTGGTTTTGGGCTACTGCTGGGTCGTGGTGCGGTGTCGGTGCAGCTGTGCGTCTCCTCGGTGTCCCTATGATTAGTCTGATCATGTGTCGTTGCGTTCGTCGTAGCTGCTGCTTGAGGAGCTCTGTCAGAGTCCAAATTTCTGCGCCGTACGTCATAATAAGGATGACTGTACCCTTGTAAAGTCGTAATCGATGTCTCAATGGGTAGCGTTTGCTGGTGAATTCTTGTCGGTGGCCGCTAAAACACGCCCACGCAGCTTGAATCCGGTGCTTGACTTCGGTCGCGGCGGCGTCGTGGAAGGTGATCGTCTGGCCTGAGTACTTGATGGTGATGGTTCGTGGTAAGATTCCGATGTCCATCCCTGTTACTGTAGCCGTCCGGTCACGGTTGCGAAGCTGGTTGGTCACGATGTTGGTTTTGGCCCATGTGGCTTGGCAAGAGTAGGAAGGAGGCTGAGGAGAAAAGGGAGGGAGATGGCGGAGGAGGGGTCGAGCGGGAGGAGGCAAGAGTGTAATGAGGACAGGGAAGGAAGCGTGGAGGAGGAAGGTGGGAAGAGGAGAGAAGAAGAAGAAGAAGAAGAAGAGGAAGAGGAAGAAGAAGAAGAAGGAGGCAGCAGGAGGCTGGAGCAGAAGGAGAAGGGAGGAGGATGACGAGGAGATGGTCGGCGGAGCCGCGAGGCCGCCGGGATGGTCACCTCCTCGCCCCTGGCGATGTCGCGTTTGGCCACCTGCCTCACACCGCCGTCGTAGTGCTGCATCTCCGCGTTCGGCTCCGAGGCGTGGTTGGCGAGGTCCTGAGCCCGAGGGGGCGAGGAGGGGCGACGGCTCGAGAGAGGGCGCCTGGGGTGTGTTCGCAGGAGCGATCGAGGGCCAGTGAGCACCATTGAAGGAGGTCGCCGAGCCGGAGGAGCCCAAATACGCCAGGGCTCAATCAAGACTGAGCCAAACAGCACGGCATTTGACTTAGGTCGGGCCTGTCCCCCTACAGGGGGATTTGGGGCGAAAAATTACAAATACCCCCAAAAATACCTCATAATGATATTAAAAAGGAAATCCCCATACGATGTTTTGACTATTTCTGAAGATTCCCCCTGTAGAAAGACAGGCCCGACTTAACATTTGACCGAGAAAATCGGGAATCGACCACCCATCACGTCCGAGAAAACCTGATTTGAAATGCCTTCGCGAGCCTTGTTTTCAGCTGCCCAAAGCGTGTCGGGACAAGCCCTGGAGGCACCGCGCTTTCGCACTGGGAAGGGCTGCGCGTTCTCTCACCACTTGAAGCTCCACTTCACCAGATAAGCTCCCCCTCCTCCTCCTCCTCCTCCTCCTCCTCCTCCTCCTCCTCCTCCTCCTCCTCCTCCTCCTTCTCCTCCTCTACAATTACTCAATGAATACTACTCTCCCGCTTCCCCTGATGACGTCTTGGGAGTAGCCGCCCCCCCCCGCGTACTGTTTTTGTTACACACAGGTTTCCCCGGAGTTGGGTTTTCGCCTGCATTTGTTTCCAACATGCTGCTCTCGCTGAGGCGCCAGCGGGCCCCGCTCGTTCCGAATCGTGTTCCCGCTGCAGCGTGGGTCTCATTTTCGGATCGGTGTTTTGCCTCCGTCGTTCAGGATGGCGTTCTCGCCCCAGCGCGGGCCTCTTTCTCGCGCGCCCATCCGCCCGCCACCACCGCGCCCCGCCCCGCCCACCGCCACTTCCACCCACCAAACGCACGCACGCACGCACGCACGCGCACCGCCACCACCACCCCACTACCCCACCCACCACCACCACGCTACACCGCGTCACACCACATCACACGCGCGCGCACACAGACACGCACGCACGCACGCACGCACGCACGCACACATACACACACGCAACGCACGCACCACGCACGCACACACACACACACACACACACACACACACAAACCACACACACACACACACACACACACACACACACACGCACGCACGCACGCACGCACACACACCACCGCCACCACCACCACCGCCACCACCACCACCGCCATCACGCACGCACGCACCTGGCCCACCACCAAGCCACCAAGACGCCACACCACGTCACACCACAGCACACGCGCACACACGCACACACACACACACACCACCACCACCACCACCACCACCACCATCAACACCACCACCACCACCACCACACCACAACCACAACCACAACCACAACCACAACCACAACCACAACCACAACCACAACCACAACCACGCACACACGCACGCACGCACGCGCACCACCACCCACTACGCACGCGCGCGCGGAGCCACAGGTCCGCTACGACACGCGTCCGCGGATAGAGAAAATCAGCGCCATGGTAAGGGATGGGAGGGAGGGGTAGGACGTCAGATATGACGCGAGCGCACATAGCTTGTCCTCCTCCTCCCCCCCCCTCCTCCCCCTCCTTCGCCGTAGCCATTTTGGCTCAAGATCAGGGGCTCCGAGCGACCGCTGCCATTTGATTTTGGCTCCCTGGTTGCTAGGCATGCCCTTCCCTCCGCGGTGCCGTCGCGATCTTGCGACACCCCGGTTGGGCGAGTTTGCTTCTGGAGTTCCATGATTCTGGTCAGGCGCGCCCCACGGGTGACGAATAGGGGGAGAAGTCAGGCTCGGCGTTTTTCTTTTTCCTCAGCAGTACCTCGGTGGTGCAGGCCACGTGCGGTGTTGTTTTACTTGGCCCATGTCGCTTTCGTGGTGGCAAGGTGCAGGCTGGGCATTTTGTATCCCTTCCTACTGTTCTTCAGCACGTTCCGTCCCAGTCGGCAGGCGAGAGGACGTGCCGCGGGCGTTCGTGCCCTTCAAACCGTCACCCTGTCAGCTGGGCGTATCCCGTCATCTTTTTGTGCAGCCTGGATGGGTGTTACTGCTTTTCGCTGTCGGCACAACACACCTTACAGTCAAGTGGAGCACAGGAGTTTGCTCGCTGCACATGTGGGAAGCTTTGTGTTCATGTTGCCTCATTGTTTTGGTCTGAGCGCATGCATTTTGAGAGACATACATGTGCAGGGTAGTTTACGGCCTGGCACTGTTCAGGTTTTGCTGGCAGGTTGGCCAGGTGTTCTGGAACCATCGTCGCGTACTGCTTGTGGCGCGCAGGTGCAACTCCATGTTGAGTCCCTTCAGCATCACGATGAAGGGGGATGTCTCTCTTGTGCTGTTGTCTGGCCATTTAATGGGCTCTTTGGTCTCAATGTCTTCGTGTGTTGGTGGGCATGGCAATAGGATGAACAGTTTACTCGTGAGGTGGCACGGTGTCCCGCAGCAGGAAATTGAAGGTCAGATTCGTATGTCCGACTCGCATCGTTTGTGCATGCACACGCGTGTCTGTCAGTCACCTCGATGTGTAAGAGTCTCATGCTAGTTACCGACATGGTCGCAATATCCATAGCTCCATAGCTCCTCCTCCTCCTCCTCCTCCTCCTCCTCCTCCTCCCCCTCCCCCCCTGTTCCTCCTCCTCCTCGTGCTCCTCTCGCTGCCGTCACTTCCCAGATACGCTCTGGGGGGCCTCCCCGATACGCCCTGTGGTCGGGAGAGCGTATTCGGTTGACTGTTCTTGTTGGCGGACACTCTCCAGAACATGCTGGATACGCTTTGGCCGCTCCGGGTAAGCTCTCGGGGACCCCGGATAAGCTCTCGGAGGCCCCGGATACGCTCCTGCCAGATACGCTCCTGGAGGGAATAAGTGCAATCGCATTTGTTTATGTTCAAGTTTCTTGTTCTTGTTTCTTGCCGCGCGGGAACACTTAGATTTGCATGTTTCCCGCCCCTTGTGGAATTACAGCGTTTTCCGCTCCCCCGCCCCTTTGCCTGCTCCGGCCAACTGCCCCCCTTTCCTTTTGCCATTTCCCCTTTTTCCTCATTGACCTGCTTTCCTAACAGAAAACGCGAGAAAGGAGCGCGCGGTTGGTATCCGATTTCTTCTGCATGGCATGGCACTGTCATGTGTGGGACTGGTTAACGGATAGCGTAGCGCATTTTTGTGGCAATCGGCAATGCTTTGCACCACGTGCCAGGCGGCGCTGCATGCACCCGTCGAGGCAAACTTCCGAACTAACGCAACAAGCAGTGGTGCAGCGACGTCACAGCTCCCCCCGAAGAAGCAGCCGATGGGCAGTTTCAGCGCCACGCCCTCCGCCCCAAACCCAAAGTTCGAGCTGCCGCTCTGGAGTTGCTACAGGAGTCTCGCTTTGACCCCAAGAGGACGCGGTGAAACCACGGCCGCAACAATATCATCATGTGACGGTTCCAGGGCGACCCACAGACCCTTACGGAAGATACCCGCGCCACTCCATGGCCCCAAATACTGCCGTTGATGACCCCATGGCCCACAAATGTCCCCGAGGAGACCCACGGAGCCATCTGCACAGCCGAACCCGCGACCCCAAGACGACCCCCAAAGACGTCTCCAGCACGAGACCCTGGCCCCAAAAGGATCCCGATGCGGTTCCATGGTCCCGAAGTGAACCCAGGATGGCCCAAAGACCGCATGGCGACTCCCATTGAGTAAACACTCGGACCTGGCACGTCGCGCGCAGCATGCGCAGTGCGCCGAGATCACCAGATCGACTCATGTTGGTGACCTGCGCACCGATCGGGCCTCTGATCAAGGGAGTCGACGGGAACGCCCTCACCTTTTTGATGCTGTCGGGCTCCTGACCGTCGGGCGACGTGCAATGACAGTCGGTGTTTCCCTTGCGGTTGCCGCTGGTCCGCACTTTGGTATTGGTCTCCCCAGGGGGAGGGGGATGCGGCGGGTTTCTGATTTGGCCAACTGGTGCCCTGTGCTGTCGTCTTGGCAGCTTGCCCGCTACGGGAACATTTCTACTTCTTGCCCTCTTTCACACGTGTCATTCTTGCTGGCGGGCCCGCACTTGGCGCCTGTTTCCCCCTTCGCGGCGCCCTTGTTTCACGCGGGTTCGTTGTCCATGGCGGCGTTGGGTCCGAGGCGGGGATGCACCCATGCCCCAATGCCGACGGCCTGGGGGATCGATCTTCGGGGATCTCGTCCTTGGGGGGGGGGGGGGGGCAAATACATGCCCACATCCAATGCCTGCCGGCGTCCCCGCCTCGCAGGCGAAATGGGGGGCCGGATTGGGAAAGAGGAGGTGCGACATCGGGTTCATACCGTCAAGTCGGGCAAGCCGCCCTCTACAGGAGGAATATTAAAGAACAGCAGAAACATAGTCTGGGGACGATTGTTCTATTTTTTACTATTTTGGAGTATTGTTTTTCTATGTTTCATTGTTCGTCCAAAATCCGCCTGTAGGGGGACATGCCCGACCTAAGCATACCGCTGGCTGCCTGACGTTTCTTGATGCATGGTCGCCTCCGGCGATGGGAGGAGCTGGGAAACGCAGTTGCACGAACTGACTCGGTGCCTCCCCTTTTGCCATCATAAAATGCGAGTCCTTGGAGGTTTAAACTTTTAGCATGAAGGGCCTGTCCCTCTACAGGGGGAATATTCAAAAATAGTCAAAAAATAGTCAGGGGACTATGTTTCGATTATGTGTTGACTATTTTGGGGTATGTTTGAATATTTTTAATTTTTCGTCCAAAATCCGCCTGTGGGGGGACATGCCCGACCTAACTTCTATCTATCTTAAGATGCGAGTCCTTGGAGGTTAGAACTTAGCATCGGCGCTGGTATATCCGTAGTCGACAAGCGGCTCAATCTGCCCAGTCCATCCGAAAAGAGCTTATCCGGTTTGATCGAACAGGCTCCAGGGCCTGTACCAGGAGGGCAGGCGCGAAGAAAAAAACGCGCCGAGAGCTTATCCGGGAGGTCGTTTGGCTTGGCGCCGAGAGCGCGTCTCGGGGTCTCAAGAGCTTGTCCGAGACTGCCCCAGAGCTCATCCAGGAGCCCAAACTCGGGGGCGCGCAAACATGGATCAGCGATCCATGGACTTGGCGCGCGGTCGCCTAATCCATGGATCGCTGATCCAGTGCCGCCTCGTTCGGCGACGGAAATCCGCGATTCCCCATGGAAACGGGACCCGTCGCTAATCCACGCCCCCTGATCCATGTTTGCGATCGCCTGACAAACACGACCAGAGAGCCAGGGCGACGCAACACGAACGCAATCTTTCTCGGGCGCCCGCGGATGTCTTCTCCGCCGGCGCCACCAATCCCCCGCCGGAGGCCTCCGAGATGAGGTCCAAGCAGGATGGGGACGGCGGATCGCGCCGCACCGCCGATGCATCGCCACTCCATTGGCGACGTCGGAGATGCATCGGCGCCGCCGGCGCGGCAAAACTCGCGCTCCACCTCGAGCCGCACCGGCGATGCGGCGAGATCCTCCCGCCCCATCTCCTCGGACCCAATTTGGGAGGCCTGGACAGGCGTTAGGTCAGGCATGTCCCCCTACATGCGGATTTTCGACGAAGAATTAAGAATAGTCCAAAAATATTCCAAAGTGGTCTAAAATACTAGAAAAAACGTCCCCAGACTATTTTCTTACTATTTTTGAATATGCCTCCTGTAAAGGGACGTGCCCGACTTGAAACTGGGAAGAGGGGGTCTGGCGCCAGCGGAGAGACCGTGCGCGGACCTCCGAAGAGCTCGCGCCTGCGCGGCCTTCTATCCCAGCGGAGGTCCAGCAGCGGCATGAGCATGCCGTGGACCTGCCTGGAGACGACGATGGACAGCGCCCACACGCAATCCTCCTCTGCGTGGTGCCCCAGCAGCGCGCCATGCTGGCTGACCATGTCCAATAGGCTGTTCAGCATCATCTGGAGGGAACGAAAACGGTTGATGATTAGCATGACCAACACTGCACACGGAAACGTCGGTGCCGATCTTGGCCATCGTCCACCTTTGTCACCGTCAATTCGTGGATCATCCTCTCGGATCGGAGACGGCCGGCATGGACCATGACCGAGACCAGCGTCGACATGATCCCGCGAGATTCTGGCCATAGCCAACTTGCTTCTTCCCTCGATCACCCGCCGCCAGATGACGAACTTGTGGAGCACCGAGCCGAGCACCGCCAGCTGCGCATCGTCCCAGCGGGGCAGGTTGTCCGGCTGCTCCTGAGCACCGAGGAACCGATACCCATCCCCACTGGCACGGCCTTGGCCCCACTGTGGTGCTTCCTTCGGGTCTCGCGGGGGGGGGGCTGGCGCGGATGAGATGCCCTGGCCCAGCGGGGGGTACGGCTAGGTGAGACGATGCCGAGCTCCGCTGGGGTCGGCAGCGAGCTCATGAACTCGGCGAACGCGGAGCGCTCCCCCAGGTGCCTCTCCCGCAGCAGACCCGCGGCCAGGGCGACGTCCCTCGCCAGCACGGGGTCGTGGGCGCTCTCCACGCCCATGGACGCCTCGCACGCGACTCCCAGAGCTCCGACGGTCTGACTGGTTCAGTCCCGGCGCTTTTCCTCGATTTCGGCTCGGGGGGGCTCGTTTCCGGGTCCGGGAACCATCCAAAGTGAATCCTGGGCGACAAAACCCCGAGGAAGGGGTCGGGAGCTTTGGTGCCACGCATAAACATGACTGTCGGAGATCCGCGCGAACGTCTTGGATCGGCGCTGCGCCCTCTTGGCGGCGCCTCCGGCGCCGCCCGCGCCAGGGAGGGGTGTCCAGCGCAGATCGAAGAACTCCGCGCTGAGCTCCGAAAGTGTATGTTCCTGCAGCCGGTTCTTATTCGACCCACGGCTTCCAGAGCACCCCTCACGAGGCCCAGAGGGCCCCAGGGGCTCCACAATGAGACAAGAAGCTAGGGGGGTCCTGGGCCAGGGGACACCTTCAGCTACCCCGGCATGGACGCCTCTACGAGCGTGACAACGCGGGGGTCGATGGTGAAGTCGGAGAGAATCGCCAGACTGGGCACCGAGACGACCTTCGGAGGGGAAGGGCGGGGGTCGGGCGGGGAGGACGGGGGAGAGGTGGAGATGTGGCGGAGGCAAGCAACGGAGCGCGGCGAAGAGAAGGGGAGGAAAGAGGTGGAGAGACAAGCTGGCTGCGCTCGCGCCGTGTGCCGCATCCTACCCTCTCACACCCATCCTTTCCCATTGCGCTGAATGTTCCTCTATCCGCTGACGCGTGTCAAAGCGAACCTGGAACTCCGAGAAAGGCCCCATCGTGTTTTGCGGAATCGGAAAAATGGGAGCTGCGTACATAGGAGGTGGCGGATGAGCAGGAGGATGAGCAGAAAGAGGAAAAGGAGCAGGAGTAGGAGGACGAACAGCAACAGCAGTAGCTTCAGTGAAATGAAAAGAGGAGCAGGAGGAACATGGGAAAGCGGAGGAGGGGAAAGGAGGGGGTGACAACGATGAGGAAGAACTCGGATCCAGAAAAGCGGCCCGCGCTGGGGCGAGAGCGCCGTACTGGACGACGGGAGCAAAGCGCCGATCCTAAGCAGAGGCCCAAGCTGCAGCGGCAGCACCAGTTCGAAAAACACATGACGGTCGGACTGTACACAAAAAACGTCGGAATGATCATGTCTATGAAATCAAACGTAACATTAAAAAAACGCGGAGAGGGCAGGACATCTCTCGCACAAAGTCAGGCGAGAAGGTAGAGTGGAGGGAGAAGAGGGAAGGGCGCTACCAGGTCAGCAAGTCGTGGAGGAAGAATATGCCAGCGCAGGCCTCGTGGCAAAAGATGCAACAACGAAGTTTGTAACAACGGATGCCACTGTCATTTCTCGGAACACGCCCTTTCTGGTCGATATCGCGGGCATATCTGTGAAGGTCATCATAACGGGCACTTCCTATAAGCATCTTGGAAGAGCGTCACCAGGAAATCGGGTTTCGAGGGAACAGACGTATCTTGATCATCGCCTGTCATGCGCCTGGATTCGCTTCCACGCGTTGGGCCACATTACACTCAACATGCTGATTCCAGCCAGCCAGATTGCCTCTCAGTCTGTCAAGCTCCATCGCGAGCCCAACCGTCCTGGAGATTATTACAACTCCGCTTACAGCATCGCACTTGGAGAGACTCGACGGGGTACAACGAAACATGTTGAGACGCATCGTGGGTCGGGTGGTGTATGGCGATGGACCCTGCCATGACGCAAGACATCGCATAAAAGATCATGTGAATGTCGCCTGGGACCATGCCCAGGTGCTGGTTTGGAGCCAAGCACGAGACCAACAACGGCGACGGCTGATTGAGAAAGTGACCAAACGGCCATCGGGGATAGGCTGTCGCGTGTATCGCTAGCCGGCTTCGCCAAGTGTGACTGGACATTTGGCTTACAGGAATGCAAGCCGACTAGCATGCAGCTGAACGGATGGTGTCTGAGTGAGGGCATTCGCGTGCATGCGCGTGGAATGTGTGCATGTGTGCATGTATCTGTGTGTGCATGTGTGTGTGGTGTGTGGTGGGTGGTGGGTGGTGGGTGGTGTGTTATATGTGTGAATGTCGTGTGTTGTGTGTATGCGTGCGCATGTGTACGTTATGTACGCTATGTGTTGTGTGTGCTGTGTGTCATGTGTGTCATGTGTGTTCCGTGCTGTATGGTGTGCGTTGTGGGTTGTGTGCTGTGTGTGTGCTGTGTGTTGTGGTGTGAGTGGTGCGGTGTGAGTGGTGTGTGTTGTGTGTTGTGTGTGTTGTGTGGTTGTGTTGTGTGGTTGGGTATGCTGCGTGCTGTGTGTAATGTGTGCTCTATGATGTGTACGTTGTGTGTTGTGTGTGGTGGTTGCTGTGTGTTGCGTGTTGTGTGGGTGTGTTGTGTGTGGGTGTGCGTTGCGTGTTGTGTCATGGTGTGTGTGTGTTCTGTGTTATGTGTGTTGTGTGTGTGTCCTGTGTTGTGTTTTGTCTGTGTATGTGTGTTGGATGGGTGTGGGTTGTGTTGTGTGTTCTGTGTTGTGCGGTGTGTGGTGTGTGTGTGTGTGCTGTGTGTGCGTCGTGTGTGCAAAACGTATGTGTGGTGTGTGTCGTGTGTGACGCGTGCGTGTCGTCTGTTTGTCGTGTGTGTGTGTCGCGTGTGTCGTGTGTCGTGTGTGTTGTGAATGTGCTGTGTGTCGTTTGTCGCCTGTCGCATGCCGCGTTTTCTGTCGTATGTCGTGTATCGTATGTCGAGTGTCGTGTGGTGTGTCATATGCCGTGTGTCGTGTGTCGTGTGTTATGTGTCGGGTGTCGTTCGTGTGTCGCGTGTCGTGTGTCGTGTGTCGCATGCGTCGTGGCTCGTTCGTCGTATGTAGTGTCGTGTGTCGCGTGTCGGGTGTCATGGATTGCGCGCCGCGTGCCGTCCGTCGCGCGTCGTGCGTGGTGCGTCGTGCGCAACGTCGCATGTGTCGCGTGTCTGCGTGTCGCGTGTCTGTGCGAGCGTGACTGCGCGCGTGCGCGCGGGCGGGCGTGTGCGCGCGCGTGGGCCTGAATGTGCGTGCGTGCACGTGCGCGTGCGATGTGTGCGTGGGCGGGCGTGTGCGTGTGCGTGCGCGTGTGCGTGTGCGTGAATGCGTGCGCGTGCGCGCACGTGTGCGAGAGGTCGCGTGCGCGTGCGTGCGTGTGCGCGTGTGTGCGTGTGCGCGCGTGCGTGCGTGCGGGTGTGGATGCGTGCGCGTGTGCGCGTGTGCATGTGTGCGTGTGTGCGTGTGTGCGTGTGTGCGTGTGTGCGCGTTGGCTCGGGTGCGCGTGTGCGCGTGTGCGTTCGTGTTCGTGCGCGTGTGCGTGTGTGCGTGCGCATGTGTGCGCGTGCGCGCGTGTGCGCGTGTGCGCGATTGCCTACGTGCGCAAGTGCGCGAGTGCGCGTGAGCCTGTCGACGTGTCTGCGTGTGTGAAAGTGCGCTTGGGCGAGTGCGCTCGTGCGCGCGTGCGCGTGTGCGCGCGTGCGTGCGTGCGCGTGAGCGCGCGCGCGTGTGCATATGCGGGCGCGTGTGGGCTCGCGTGGGCATGTGTGCGTGTGGGTGTGTGTGTGTGTGTGTGGGCGCGTGTGTGCGTCAGTGCGCGTGTGCGCGTGTGCGTGCGTGCGTGCGCGCATGCGCGTGAGCGCGTGTGCGTGCCGTGTGCGCGCCGTGTGCGTGCGTGCGCGCTTGCGTTTGTGAGCGTGTGTGTGTGTGTGTGCGTTTGTGTGTGTATGTGTGTGCGCGTGCGTGTGTGCGTGTGTGCGTGTGTGCGTGTGTGCGTGTGTGCGCGTGCGCGTGCGTGCACGCGTCTGTGCGCGGGTGCGCGAGCGCGCGCGTGTGTAGGTGCGTGCGTGTGTTCGCGGGTGCGTCCGTGCGCGTGCAAAAATGCGCGCGCGTCCGTGCACGAGCGTGTGCATGTGCGCGTGCGAGCGGGTGTTCGTGTGCGGGTGTGTTCGTGCGCGCGCGTGCTCATGTATGCGTGTGCGCGCGCGTGCGGGCGCGCGCGTGGGCGTGCGTGTATGTGTATGCATGTGCGCGCGTGTGCGTGAATGTGCGTGCGTGCGCGTGCGCGTGCTTGCGTGTACGCGCGTGTGCGTGCGTGTGCGTGCGTGTGCGCGTGTGCGCGTGAACGAGTGTGCGCGAGTTCGTGCGTGCGCCAGTGCGCGCGCGCGGCCGTGCGTGTGCGCGTGCTCGTGCGTGCGCGTGTCCGTGTACGTGTGCGTGTGCCTGTGCGTGAATGTGTGCGTGTGTGCGTGTGCGTGTGCGTGCGCGTGCGCGTGCGCGCGCGCGTGAACGTGCCTGTGCGCGCGCGCACGTGCGCGGATGCGGGCGCGGGCGCAGGCGCGTGTGCAAGCGCGGGTGCGGGCGTGGGTGCGGATGCGGATGCGGATGCGGGTGCGGGTGCGGGTGCGGGTGCGTTTGCGGGTGCGGGTGCGGGTGCGGGTCTGGTGCGTGCATGTGTGTGTGCCGGTGTGCTTCTGCTCGCGCATCAATTTACCTCGAGTTGAAATGTTTCTTCAATTTTCTGGCCGGTGCGCGCTTCGCTGGGAAATACGGTTCCTCCTTCACACCACCCATCGCTGCAATTGACAATGCGCACGGTGTGCACACTGTGCCTTCGACAGTGCTCGATCCCAATTCGCACTTCCATCGGCCGTCCGCGCCTGATGACCCTCTGCGCCGCCGGCTTGAAAGTGCGTGTGTGCATGCGTGCGTGTGTGCGTGCGTGCGTGTGCGCGCGTGTGCGCGCATGTGTGCGTGTGTGTGCGTGTGTGTGCGTGTGTGCGTGTGCATGTATGCGTGTGTGCGTGTGTTTGTGTGCGTGTGCGTGTTTGCGTGCGTGCGTGCGTGCGTGTGTGCGTGTGCGTGTGCGCGTGTGCACGTGGGAATGTCGGTGCGGGTGTGGTGTGGGTGTGTGTGCGCTTGTGTTGTACTGTGCGGTGGTGTGCTGTGGCTGCGGTGCGTGATATTATCGTGCGCGTGTGTTGTATGTGGGCTCTACAAGCAGTTGGTTCTTCCCGTGTCTTGTGCAAGGCCGTATATGCAGTCGTTCGGGATCTGTCTGTCAATCGAGCCACAAAGGGCGACAGGGAGGGGATGCGGGTGGACATGGGAGGGGGGGCGGAGAGGAGGACAGGGAACACCGGGGCGAGCAGAAAGGTAGAGATGCAAGGGGGGACGGGAGCGGAAGTAAGCTAGGTGCGCTCGCGCCGCATGGCTGGCACCATGTCCTTCCCTCCCATCCCTGCACATTGCGGCGATGGTTTCCATATCCGCGGGCCCGTGTCGTAACCGACCTGGAAGACCACGGCACAAGACCGTCGCGCTACGCACAAGAATCGGAAAAGGAGGGCTGCGCACGTAGAAGGAGGAAGAGGAAAGGATGGCGGGTGAGCAGGAAGATGACGACAAGGAAAAGAAGGCGAACGGAGGATGACAAGAACGAACAGCAGAAGCAGGACCTCGAATGGACGGAGGGGCAGGAGGACCAAGGAAGGCGGAGAACAGAACATGAGAGGGGGCGACAACGATGAGAAAGGACTCG